GTTTTATGCTTGCTGCCTTATCAAGAAGCCGGGTTTGTGATTTGCATTCTTGATCGTGAAGAATTGTGTGATTTTTATTTAGCAGATTGAGAGATGTCATAAAGAAAAAATGTGAGGAGGTATTACTTAGCCTCATGTCTCTTTTGCTTCAGTCTCACAAGTGCTAAATTATGGTTTTAATTTCATTATTGAAATTACAGGACCTTCTCAAGATCTGGCTGCATGCCAAAATGGCCTATTGAAAAATGCCTCTAAAGTTGCAGCCCTGCCAGGTAACCTTCTGCAGACAAAGGTCTTGAGGTATCAGTAATTGCTCGTTTGCTAGGACAGCTTAGAATGCCAGTGACAGATCCTTTGGGACATGCAGGCAGGGATTTGTGTGCCCTGCTCTCTCTTGGCTGCACTGACTGCAGTGAGGTAGATGAAGCACCCAGTCAGACCTGTGACTTGGGCAACACTTCAGAGGAGCTGAGCATAGAACTGCCTTGGATCCTGGCTGGTTCCATCTGGAAAATGACACATGCAGATGATGCTTGATGAGCTGGCAATTTTGACCAGCTACAAGGATTCATGAAGCACAGGAATACCTCAGTGTTTGCAGTAGCTGCTGTGGGGCTCCTGAGTCTCCGAGCAGCTGCAGACCAGCCTGAGCAGGTCCTTTGTGTTTCAGGAATGCTGCTCTGATCTAAAATGTGCTTCAAAAAGCACTCCTGGCAATGCAAGAAGAGAAACAGCTTTTCAGTTTCTAGTTTTGATTGCTTTGGTGTTCGTGTTTGTTGGGAACGAGAGGCTATGTATTCTTGGCTGGGTGTACATCACTGCAGGTGACATGGTGCTACCTTGGAGATTAGCCTCAGCAAAGGCTATAAATTTTAAATGGAGGAAGTTTTCATCTTCAGTTCAAAAGTCCCGCTCAGTAATGCCAAAACTGCAGGCACCACCTCACAAGTGTGCACATTAACACTCCTACTGCTTTTAAAAGCCTAAGAGAAGGCATTTTGAATCATTTTGCTTAATTCTTTTTTAAAAGAGTTATTTAGGCAGTGTCTTATGAGAACGTACAAGCTTAATGTGCTGGTGTCAGTCAGTGTGCAGTTCACAACAGCACAGGTTTGAGATGAGCATTGCATTTATATTTATCTTCATGAGTGAGAAGATCAAGTGGCTGTGGCACTTGAAAATTATCCAGGGTATTCTTTTTAGCAAAGTGTGGTAGCAAGGCTTAGCTATGCTGCATTGTTTGTGTGTGCAGGAGCCTACACACAGGGTTTGGTGGCTGGTAATGGACGTTCCAGAGTCAAATTTTGATGCCAGCATAAGCAGTCTCTATAGATGCCCCAAACCATTATAAGATGCCTGTTAAACTTTAAATAATTAACTTCCTTTAGTTTGTTTCCTTTATGCTTCAAAAAGTTTCTAGACATGAGCACTGGCAGAATCTGAAGAAGAAAAGCAATCTTATTTTCAGAAATATTGAAGTCATATCACTGCTACTTTCTAATTTGTTTTTCAAATTAATAATTCCCATGGCGACCAAGAGAAAGTAAAAGGCAGGAAGGGATTGTGCGCTGGGGGTGAAGTGCTACTCAAAGCTGCTGTGTATCAACTGTGTCTTCAGAACCATCAATTGTGATTTTCAGATCCCTCAGACCATGTGAGTTCTATTTGACAGATTCTGCCAACTACATCCTGTGATGTCTGGGAGTGAGGGCAGTCTGGCAGCAGCTTTTGGAAAAATGTTTATTCTCATCAGTAAGATAAAGCTGTCAGAGGAACCCAGAGACATCCATGGAAACAAATAATGATTCAATATGCAAAACTAGTTTTCTAGTCCCAGGGAAAGATAAGAGAGGCACTTTTTGAGAGCTGCATTTGAGCATCCAGTTGAATGAAGGAAGAGAGAATTGCAATGACCTGGTGAACTGAATATTCTGGAGTTCTTAAAATGATAGGAATTATTTCAGAGATGTTTGGTCAAAATACCAATTTATCAAATATAATATTTGTGGCATATCAGGCCCTGACATATTCATCCCTATACTATATATCTAATACTGTGAGGAAAATGCTGATGTTTCTTATATTGTGTATTAGCTGGGTATGTGGAGTAGTGAGGAGAATGAGTAGACTGAATCTGTTACAGGAAAGAATTAGTTTATTGCATTTTTTTTGAGAGCTGAATTGTTTAATGGAATGCAATCACAGGTTACTAGTAATTGGCTCAAAGGAGCCCTGAGATGGAGCAGGCAGTAAGAGCAAGAATCATTTAATGCATGGCATTAGCAAGTTGCATTAAAGTAGCTGCCTCTCTGGTGTGTTCTCAGAATTTTGTGGCCAACAGGCTCACTGGGAAATCATTCCTCAGTGGTTTCATGTCTTCTCATAAGGATAGGATTGGTTTCCCTGATTTCTGCCTTTTAATATACTTTGAGCAGAAATGTTGTTTGGTGGTTTTGTTTTTGTTTTCCTTGAATGTGTGCATATGTTGGAGTGAGTGCATTCTATGTTAGTAAAAAGCACCTGACTAACATCCTTCAAGCTGGCAACAAGCTCACACTTGTTTTGGGAGTGCCTGTAAGCCCAAACCACATATCAGGATCCTCTGTAACAACTGAAGGTATCCACACCTGTGCAGCCCAGATATAGCAGAAAAAAAGATACCTATGTGCCTTCATTATTCACAACTGAAATAATTAACTGAAGTAATGAGAGTGCTCGTTTCTCTGTTCTCACCTTCCAGTGCTATGCTATCCTGCAGTATTCCATATCTAAAAGCAAGAAGAAATCCCCAGAGGTATTTAGGTTCTTTCCTTAAAACTTGTATTGTGGAATAAGGATCAAGTAGTTGCAGCTCTTGAAGGTCATCCAGCCTAGCCACTGCTTAAAACTGTTCCAGCTGCTTCAGGCTGTTGGGGGTTGTACTCAATTGGGCTTTGAGCATCCCTAAGGATGGAGACTCCAGAGTTTCTCTGGGGAGCCTGCACCAGTGTTTGGCTCCACTCACACTGGAAACCTTTTTGCTGGTATGTAATTGCAATTTCCTGTGTTGAAATTAATGTCTTGCCCTTCCATCTACCACTATGTGGTCCACTGAGTGACTGACTATACCTTCCCATTCCTTGAGGGCAGCAAGAAAACCTCCCTTTTTTCCAGGATTTCTAAGGCAAGCCCCAGTTTGCTGTCATTATTGTAGGCAGGAGTGGGGAGGGAGGGATGTGATTGAGTTGTAGGTACCCTGTGCCCAACCTGCTGCTGCACAAGGTCATTTCATGCAGACCGAGTTGGATTTTCCCCAGCAGCCTGGTTTTATGTCTTGAACTTGTTGGCCTCAGGCAGCACTTACTGGAAGGCTGGAACATTTGGAGATAGGAGAAGCTTTTTCCCTTCTGGAAAAAGGAGACCCCTTCTCTGGGCTATCTTGAGCCCTAGGACAGAGCTTTTTCAAACTGGCAGTTCTGAAGGATTTCCGTGCCACTTTCTGCAGGAAGAAGGGAGGGAAAGAAGGGATTAACCATCATTGCTGGCATACATTGCTTTTTCAGTAATGAGTAATTACTACCTAAGCAGGGCTCTTCGTACAAGCTTCTTTCTTAAGAGTTTAATGAATCCTCACTGTGCATTGTGGTGAGGATTCTTCTTTTCATTCTATGCACAATGAGCAAATTTTCGCTAAAAATCCCAATAGTTCTCCCCTGCTGTTCAAGGAGGTTTGGAATACACTGCCTTATGTCCCAGGCTGCTGTTCACTGATGAGGTAGCCCCAGAATAGATGAGGAGGAATTTTGGCACCCAGTTTGCAAAAACAACTCAGTGGTACAGATCTGCACTATATTAATTTGATGGTTTATTATTATTTGAAAAGTAAGACGTTTTCTGCAGTTAATCTTCTGATTTCAGGGAAAGGGTTCCTAGGGAATACAGAGTTGTCTGCAGAACTAGCTGCTACAAATTCTCCTGAGATGGCTCTGTTTGGTAATTTCTTCAAAATTTATTTTTCTTGTGGTGATTAAATACATTGTACTTGTAAAGACATTTTTGACTATGTTCCATCTTGCTAACAGATCCGTACGGTCAGCCAGTGTTGCTGTGGGACTGTCTGCCCTAAAACAGAAGGAAGGCCGATTCCCAAGGGATGAAAATTTGGTTTCAAATGCCCAGAATTCCAGTTCTGAGAGCAAAGGACCAGCCAGGACATGAGGTCTGGTCTAACATACTGCTTTTATTGCCAATTAGAGAACTGATTTCCTCTGTCAGAGCATTACTTTTGGTTTAGCCCCTTCAAGGGAGGCTTTATATATATGTATAGTCCCCTAAAATTAAGGGTATAATTTTAGTTATTCCTAACATGACATTATATCTCTGTGCAATTAATCCTTTTTCTGTATAGGAATAGGGAATAAATAACCTCTAGAGTTAAAGCAGTAGAACAAGGTCTTAGTTATTTAGAAATCAAAATGCTAACCTCAAGCCTTCACCCCTGTCCCAATCCTTAAAAGGAGGAGTTGTGGTTTAGGATGCCTGAGACAAGCTAAGAAATGTTCACCCCAGTCTTGCACTCTTCTGAAACCTGCTGCAAAATTTTTACTTTCCCTAGTTGTAGAAGTTGGGAAGAGATCAGTACCTTGAGTTGATGATAATAATGAGGAGGCCAAATCACCCTGGATCATAGGTCAAGCCTGGCAAGTAATGCCAGGAGACAGGTGACCTGTTACACAGACCTCGAGAAGCCACTATGTACAGTGGTAATGCACTCAGTTTCCTGGGACAGATCGTTCTTGAAGCAGTGTGGGGTCCCTCCAAGTGAACTGCTGGCATTATGGATGGCCACAGCATTTCCAAGTCGTGTTGTTTTATGGGAAAGAGCACACTTTCTCCTAATCAAATATTTCTTTTATCATTTTAAGCAGGGTGGCCAAGAAGGAACGAGATGGTTTGCTTGTTGATTTGAGGATTTTTGTGACACCAGCCTGCTGTCCCCTCTTGTCTGGGGGTAGCCTGTGGTATCAGGGTGGTAGCCCTTGAGCTGCCGAGTGCTAAGTGCATTTGATCAGTATCATTAGCAGCCCCAAGTAATTGATTATCATCCATAGCTGAGTGTTTAGAGGAAGCACACAGCCAATGGCAGTCACTTAATCTGTCATGCCTGCATGTTCTTGTCCTCCTGAGATCTATCAGCTGTGTAGCCTCTGACCCCATCAGCAAAATCACTGATGGCTGCCTTGTCTTTTCTATGTACCCATTATGTCACCTGTATTAACCAGACTGCAGCGAACATGGAAGAAGGATTTACAGCAGCAATGGCAGTCTGTAGGTCTTATTTTAGTCTTCCTTTTCATGCATATCTAAGCCTAGATTTTTGTGGGAAGGGAGGGGGGGTGTCTTTAAATGTACACTGTTCAATTATTTTTCTGGTGTTAGTATTAATTGCAAGACTCAAAATAGGTTGATTAGGATAAGACCTCACAGGGATGTTTATAATTCAGATTTTGGAGATGTGACTAATGAATAACAACCACAGCTAATCAGTTCTCAAAACTGATGGTAATGAGCAGAAAAGGGGGAGGAAGCCAACCTGGATCTCTGCTAATGCACTGTAGTGGAAGATGGCAAGGTCTCTTAACATGTGTTTGATTCAGATGGAATTCTTGATATTTCACAGGAAAAGCCATTTTTAAAAAGCAGAGCTTGAAGATAAATTTAAATAACCAGTAGTCAATTACAGCCTTTAAAGTTGGGGTAGTATTTAATTGTTTGAACTGTACAGAGATTTGAAGATTCTTATGGCATTTTTGGGCTTTTTATTTATAAGTTGAGTTTTTCTACATTCATAACTGCTACAGAAATGACAACACTGAACACTGGAGTCCTTTATTCACAGAACTGGCACCAAAGGGGCATTGACAGTGTGGTTTTTTTCCTCTGTATTTCCAAGATTTTTGACCTTGATCAAGGTCCTTTCTTAAAGATGTGGTGATGTGGTAAGTCTCTTGCTATAATCTGGTCAGTCCTCTGCCTCCGTGCATGTGTTTAACCATGTTGTGAATTTGCAATCCTGAATAAGAAAGAACTTGAAATATATCAGAGGCTCCTGAACTGGAACTTCAGTCAGGAATGATCCAGATCCACGCAGAAATTGGTATAGTGTTAGTCTTGGAAAATGCCTTTCAAATCATAGACAGACATCTTCATGTCAAATCTCCCTGTTTCTGCCATGCACCACATCCTTGTAAGGAGAGAATTTCCTATCAGCTCTTCAGGTCGTACATTTTAGTTTGGGGATTTTTTGGCACTGAAGGACACATTTGTCGTCAAAGAACATTCTCTGCAGTTGAGACTTACCCCAGTGAGACTGCTTGTGGAAGGAGGGCAAGAGAAGAAACTGTCCTTGGCTGGTGAGGCACTTGTACACAGTTCAGTGCACTCAGGGAGGCTCTGCAGATGTCTACTGCCTTTAAGAAAATAACCAAAAAACAATGGCCAAACACAATTTCAGGAATTCAGCTTTTGTCATTTGACAGAGAGCTGAGCTGCTGGTTTTTCGTTTATCTTGAAATGATACCATAGAACCCTACTCAGTGTGACCGTGAGGATGAGGTTCTTCTTTTGGCAGTGAGCAGTGTGGTTTCTAAATAAAGCTAATGGTAGGGATTGGTTGTGTTTAATGCTTCAAGTACTGGGGCAAAGAGTACACTAAGGTCAAGGTTATTTCAATTGCTTATGTCCAGCATGAGGCTTTGGGGAAGTGATACAGGCACCTCTACACATCTCCTGCTCTTCACTTTCCGTTCCCACTGTTTATCATTCACAAGATCTGACTCAGGAGCAGTTCAGGTGACAACTTTCCTGTTTTGGGAGACGGTGAGTTCAAACCGGGGAGCACTCTGGTGCCGTCCATTGTGCAGGTGCACAAACATTACTGCTGGCATGGGACAAGGAAGTGGAGAGCCAGGGAATCTGAGAAACAGGCTTAGTACATTGATACCTGGGTGTTCATGCTTGTCTCAGTTTGAGAGACAGGTGTGTGTTAAGGGTTAGGGTCTCCCTTCCTATGCTGACAAGTGAGAGAGAAGGAGTGAGGAGCTATGTCCAGCCCCTTCTCCCAGCCCAAATCTTGGGGTATCTCTGCCCCTTTAGGTAAAGAGAGTAGCCAGGTGCACCCTTACCCTGAGCCTGGCAACTTCTTTTGTCTCTCTTTTAAGTACCAGGAGTTATATTCTTTCAGCAACGTAAGGGAGAAAATTCCCTGGGAGAAAAAAACAAAAGGAAAAGTCCCAAACCCAAACAATGCTCAAGAAAGAGCACTCAGTTTATAAAATTTTCTATCAGCAATGACATTTTCTGCTTCAGAGGCATTTTAATGAATAATGCTGTTCTCTACAGAAAGTTGAGCCCTTTGCTGATCAAACAAAACTAAGCAACTTTCTGTGTCTCTTAAGCATTTCATATGCACAAGCACACGTTTATCATCAGTCAATATCTAATAGACATGTAGAATATTCTCAAGTCATGAGCAGTTTTGCAAAAGCCCATAGCTTTTTTGGTTCCCTGCATATAATAGTTACAGCTCCTTTGGATGACAGCAGCCACTGAAACATCTCTTTTTGCCCAGTGTTCATGGCATGATGTGGCCATTGACTCCTGCAGGAGGGTTCACGGCACCTGATGAAAATTGTATCAGTCTTCTGGGTAACTTTTTCACAGCTGTGTCACTCTTCTGCATTATTACACTCCATTAAAGTTCAGAGGCCCTAGCATTAACCCACTGGTTGGCATTGGTGCCTATTGCAGTATAGCTTCCTTTGGGTGGGACTGCATGTTTCTAACTCTTCCATAGCTTTATGGTTTGCAGCAGCATGATGATGTGAAGACAGCTTCAGCACTGCTAGATTCCTCACTGGCTGAAGTTTTTAATGACAAAAAGACTCAAAAGACTTTTGTGGATGTACATCACTTAAGCCCAGTTCCTGGGCCAGTGCTTGCTAGGAAGATGTATGTGTTATAGTCTGGGTATTAAGCTGTTAGAAATGCCTATGCCTGAATTAAGGTACAAATGAGACCATATAAGTATGGGGTTTATTTAATTGTAAATAGAGAGGGGGAGAGAGAAAAAAATAAAAAAGGTGGGGAGACAAAGTGACAGAGACAGAATGAAAAAATGTCACCACTCCATAGATCCCACTGATGTCCCAGTGATCCTCTCCAGCTGGTCTGCTTGATGGCGAGGGTCCCCTGAGAAGTATAGGATGGATTAATACACACTCAGCTCAGGTGAGAATGCCCAGGTACCTCCCTTGGGCTGGGGCCAGTTTGACACAGGCTCTTGCAGCAGACTCTGGCTCTGCTGCATCCCTTTGCATCAGGAGCAGTGCTGAGGTGAAAGGTCTCAGGAATGAGTCTGATGAGCACTTTAGGGGGTCTTTGATGGATTCTGGCACCTCCTCAGCTGCCCCTCACGGGAATGTCCCATGGATGTGGAATTTTACAGCTGGGGTGGTTTGTATAAGGGAGGATGGGTGTTCACTGCCTCTGACCAAAGGTTACACCATGAACCCTAAACCTCCTCCTTCCACCCTCACCTGGGGATGTCGTCTGTGCAAACCTGGCCTCTGTGAGCTGCGTTCTCCCCCACCCCAAACCCAGCCAGGGATGATTCTCTGCTGCTTTTGGCTCTCTTGTGGATGCATTCCTTTCCCTCAGCCTTGTTTGTTTCTCCCTAGAGCTGAGATGATTGAACAATAGTGTCGCCTTTATCTTATCTAAGTGGCTTAACTTTCAGTGCAAACTTCCAGCTTGGATTCTTCAAGAAGGGGTGGGCTTCTGTGGTTGTAGCTACTTTATACAGTTTTTGCTATAATGGGCAAAACTCCTTCATCACAATGTTTAAGGCATTAAGCATTTCAGTCTCTGACAGTGTGATCTCCATTACTGGGACATGAACATCACATCCTAGGAACTGTAGAGACAGGAATGTATATGCTGGGAATGGGGGGAAGAAGGAGCAATCTTTTTAGTTTTGCTTCAGCTGCAGGCTCTAAGGAAGAGAAGGCTTTTCTTCATTCTTTCAACCCCTCCTTTAATTTATTTGTGGCCAGCCCTGGCAGAATAATCCTGCTGAACAGTTAAAAATCATATATTATATGTTGCAGCTGTCATCTTCAAAAGAACAGAGGTGTGAGGGACGGAGCAAACTCATGCAGGAAGCGCCTTTATAAATGCACAGGGTTTTCATTTCTTACGGTGGTTTGAATGTGTGAACACGGCCTAAAAGGGAGCAGTGCAGCCAGCATTCCACTGTATGCAGGAGGGAAAGGGAGGAGAGATGGAAATGCAGGTCATTAGTCATTTATCTGCTCAGCCAGCTTCTTCCTCTGCCAGGGCAGGCAGCTAGTACTGGCAGCTGTCAAGTCCCAGGGCCCTGTCACTCATAGAATCATATAATGGTTTGGATTAGCAGGGACCTTAAAGATGATCTCTTTCCAACACTGCTGTCACAGGTAGGAACTCTTCCCACTAGACCAGGTTGCTCAAAGTTCCATCCAACCTGGCCTTGAACACTTCCAGGGATGGGGCATCCACAACTTCTCTGGGCAAACTGTTCCAGTGCCTCACCACCTTCACAGCAAAGAATTTCTTCCTAACATCTAATCTAAACCCACACTTTTCAATTTAAAGTATTTGTGTGAAAATTGCCTTGCAATTTAGGGACTAAGAACATCCAAAAAAATTAGTCATTAGTGGTTGTAGCCCCATCAGGCTCACTCTCAGCCATGAGTCTGTTATACAAACCAGGTGTCTTCCAAGAACAAAGCATCGTAATATAGGCAGAAAAAATATTGATTGACTTTGTCTAAAGTAGTTACACTTAAAACTGTAGGGAATTAAAGCAATCCAGAGTTTTGCACAGAGCATCTTGGCATGTAACTCAAATTAATATAAGTAATGAATCCTTGCAGTCACCACCTTCTTTTAAACCAAGAGTCATGGAACAAGAAAGAGAAGGGCATTTTTAACATGCTTTTCACAGGCCTGCAATTAAGCACTGAAATTTGTGTTTTTGCACCCAGGTAAAAGGCTGGCTGTTTATACAATACATGTAAATGAGCAGTAAATGGTGACATTAAAGACAGTATATGTCCCTACAAATAACTCTCAGCTCAAGTCTAGTTACAAAATAGAGCTTCTTTTATCTCAGGCACATTTAAGGCCTGCTTACTAAAGCCTTGTTTGCAATGTGTTTCAGTTTGTAACATTTACTTGGCCGGCTAGTATTGTGTGAGAGGGGCTAAATGCTTCTATATTGGCAGTAAAGTGTGATAATCAATCGAATTAAGGCAGTTCACTGGAAACAGCATGTTTTCCCTAGTCTGAACAGTCCCAGGGGAGTTGTACTAAAGTTCAGTGTCTGATACTATGCTCTCGAAATGGAGGCAGCACAATCCTCTCTCTTTTTTTTTCTTTTTTTTTCCTTAATTTCTCCTTTTCCAAGCCCGCAGTGAAAGCAGGTTAAATTTGGCATTGCAGGCTGGCCAAGGGAACTGGCTGAGGATAAAGCCAGGGTGTGGAGTGGCTTCCTGGTGGCCAGGCAGCACTGAAGTGGAAGGTGGCAGCAGGGCACCCAGCAGGGACACCGGGAGGGTTGAGTCCAGCCAAAAGGGTGGCCATGGAATGACGCTGGCATGTCACCTCAGGCTGGCATGTCACACTGGGCCCTGCTGCTAGAGCCAGTGTGTGCTTGTAGACGTGCCAGCCAGAGAGTCCTTTTCCATGGTTTTCAGCTTGGTTTGAGGAAATGCTCCATAAGCTGCGCTTTTTAAATAGCCCTTGGCTGGTGCCTGTGCTAGCTCTGCTGGCAGATGCCTTTGTGTGAGTGAACAGATCTGGTTAGAGGGAATCTATTCCACATTGCATTTAGGCAGTACCTTTGCTGCCTGTGTTTTCTTTTCCTTGCCACTAGCAACAGAGACTTTGCTTGTTTTGTGCTTAAATCCTCTTTATACTCTTTATTCTCTGAAGGAGCTGGATAAAAAAATAATCTTTGTATGGTAGTTAACCACTGGAGCAGATTTTTATTTTGATTAATTCTGCTTAGGTAGCAAAATGTGTACTTGGATGACAAGACTAAAGAATCCCTAAACTGAATAGATGGATTTTTTAGAAAAACCTGCATTTCAGATTCTAAAAGGATGTAGGACTTTGGAATCTGACTGCACCTGGGTTACAGCTGAAATTAATGTACATAACTAGTAGCAGAGGAAAGTCACAGTATCTGAATCAGTAGTTTACTGTGCTCTGGCTCTGAAAGAGTTTTATCCGTGCATAAACAGGAAGGCACAGAAAGCTGAAGAAGCTTTCAGAAATATTTTTGTTCTACGGCATGACCAAGAAAGAATTTCAGTCATTAGGATATATTTTGCTGGAGACGACAAATTCATTTATGTAAATTGTGGGCTCGTCTTTTAAAGTTTCTTGTGAACAGTGTTGTACACCGATCTCTGTGAATTCCAAATACACACTGGAGATAGAGAAGTGAGAACACTGCCTCATGTTTTTCTTTGATGGCGGTTCCCTTTTTTTTTTTTTTTTTTAAATTTCCAGCAGAAGAGCAGATGAATTCAGAGTGTTCTAAGAAATGTTGGTGGTTTGACTGATACTGTCCCATTACATGCCTTTGGAATAAGCTTGCTCTTCCTAAATAGGACATATCTGTAGATGAAGTATGGCTGAGAAAAAAACCTTGGAATTTTATTGGTGTGCAAAAAAGGCAATTCTATATGAACACAAACAAATGCATTTAAATACCTGTTAAATATTCCTGACACTGAGCAGCAAAACTACCATGGAAGACAAGTGTAGGAAGATTTATTTGTCAGCCTTTTAGTGGGACACATAATGAAAAATCTACTTATTTATCTTGTCCATCAAAATATGACTTGCCTTGAGTGGATGAGTAAAATTTTTCAACTCTGCATTAGGACAGGAACAGACTGGTGCTGGGGCTGCCTCGGGAATTGCATTACTTTAATGTAACTCGCGCTGGGGGAGGTGTCTTGTTTGTGCTTTGGTTTATTGCTTTAAGCTGGTGTGAGTAGAAAAAGACACCCGCCAGACGATGATTTACACAGTGCTGCTGATGTTAATCCCATTACTTTGCCAGATATTTTTAATCTCTTCGCCTCCCACCCCTTGGATTGAAACTTCCTTTGCTGTGAGTCGGAGCAGAGCCTGGTGTGATGAGCAGGTGTGGCTTGCAGTGCAGATGTGCTCCCCAGCTTCATGCAGGCACCCAGGATAAATGGCAAGGAGGAGGGGATGGCTGCTCTGTGTGTGTAAAAGGGAGGGAAGGAGGGAAAAAGAGAGCACATGTAATTTTTTGGCATGCAAATCCTGGAGAACAGTGAGCAATATGGACTGCTCTCACTCCCAGTGCAAAGGGAAAAAAAATACAGTGACTGCAGTCACATAGGACAGAATATTGTCACAGTAGAATAGTGGCTCTTGTGCTCTTTGTCACTACCTGTGCCCAAAAAATAGAAGTCTCTGTCCCCACAACACGGTCTTGGGCTTCAAGGACAATTTGGTATGTGCTGGTTGGCAACATCACCTCTCCTCCTCCTCAGACAACCTGTACAAATCCTTTCAGACTCCCCTGAGGACTGTGTACATTGCTCCTGCATGCTCCTGAAATGCCCTCAGTGTGCATGAGGAGGGCTGTGTTCTGGCCACTCTGGTGAGGCAAATGTCATTTGCTCCCATGCAAGGGGACAGGAGATCAATTTCCCTCTCTTACACGTGCTCAGGCACTGTGACCAGGGAGCCCAAGTCTGCTAACCTGCTTTCTGTCCACTGGGAGGGTAAATAGGCTTTTTCCTCAGAGATTTGAACTTAGCCTTCCATCTTTCTGGAATCCTGTACGAAATGAAAGGAAGGTTTTGGTTGACTGTAAAACTTGAGCTAGAAAGGTGGGGACTGCAAAGTGCTCAGCTTGGCAGGGCAGCCTTGACTGATGGGGAAGGGTCACTGAGTTTGCAGAATGAGACTCTCCTGCATGGCTACTGTGGTCAAGAGTAACTGGGCAAAAGATAGGATTTGTGATGGGAAGCCATCAGTAGCATTGAAAACAAACAAACAAGCAAAGTATCATTGTTTTAGATTTCTTTGTGTTAAATTCCCTAGGCCAAGCAGCTCCATTAATACATTCCTGTTGTAATTGCACCACAGGACTGGTTTATGCAATTTGGAAAACAAAAACAAGACAGCCTGGTGGTGCGGGGTAGGGGGTGGTTCAGGGCTGTCCTTTACTTTTCTGGAAAGAGTAGTCAATTCTAAACTTTTTTCATTTGCAACAATACACAGGGGCTGTGCAGTGACTGCCTGAATGTTAAATTATAGCACTTGTTTTACTCTTTATATCTGTGTCTTGTATGACGCAGTTTGTACCGGCAACATCTGAATGTTTTGGCTTTCTTTGAAAGACTAGGGGAGTTAAGGGTCTTTGATGAAATGAAAGAAAATCCTGAAAATAGCCTTCTGTGATTTCTGAATTGTATTCTTAGCAGTATTAGCATATAGCTGGAGTTAATTCATTTACATCAGTGAAAAGTTCAAGCGAGAGCAGAATTAGGCCTCTTTGAAAACCAAGTCAGAGTCATATCTGATGCAACTCCATCTTGGCTTTGAATGGGAAGCCTGTCACACTGCTTGTGAACCTGGAGACGTGGATGTGTCACATTCATCCCAAACAGAAGCCGTGTGACATGCCAAAGAAGAGGGCTGTCCTCGGGGTTGGACTGGGGCCCCTGGCTTTCCAGCCATTCCAGTAGTGGGCAGAGCCCTGGCACAGGATTTGCTGAAGGGATCCTGCCAAGTTTATTCCGTAGAGTGGCTTGAGGCAGAGACTTGTCCCTGCTGTCCTCCATTCACCAGCGTGGCAGTGCTGGCGCTGTTTAACCACGGTGTCTCCTCATGCAGGGCACCAGGAAGGAGAAGCCACCACCACCCCCTGCCCTTCTGCCCATGGCACGGCTGGCTAGGGCTGGCCAGGCTGGCAAGGCTGTGCTGGGATGGCCCAGGTGGCAGAACTTTGCCACCCCAGGAAAAAACTGTGCCTGTGCTGATCTCCTTCTTAAATATGTCACGACAGAGCTGTTACCAACCTCTCTAACTGGGCCAGCAGCACGTCCCTCTTCAGAGCCATCAAAGACTGGCTCTGTTGGCCTTTGTGGAAGCTTCTAGCAGCTTCTCACAGAAGCCACCCCTATGGCTCTCCCCAGCTACCAAAAACCAGGCTGTGCCACATCAGCACACCTTCAAGGAGGAATGCCTTCCTCTCCTTAGTTGTCCCGGTTATCCTTTGGCTGATGCAGAAGGGTAGACAACCCATGCAAGCTTGTAGCAAAATTATAAATCTCCCTAGCTGTAAATATGTAATGCTTTTAGAAATCTTTGAGACTATGTCTCAACAAGGCATTGAACATTATTTTTATCATACTGCGCTTTAGATGTATTTTCATTAAATGTCAGGGTCTTCATTTATTTCTGTTTAGAAAAAGAGTAAGAAAAAAGGGAGCTAGACCTTCCTTAAAGCATGTTATTTGCTTTAAAGCGTGTTATTTGACATAGTTTTTATCACGTCAGCCCTAACCTGAGTTCTCTCTAAACTGATAGTTACAATCTCTAAAATCCTTCCTCAGATGGAAACTTCTCCACGCCTGTAATAACATGTATCCTTTTTGAAATGAGGCAGCAAGTATTTGAGTGGGGAGTGTTCATGAAAAATTTAACTACCTCTTTACTTTTTTTTTTTAATTTATTTCCTTGTATTAACACATTCTCCCATCCTGTTGTTTTGTTTCTTTGCTGCTTCTTTGCCACTTCTTTGTCCTTCTGTGTAGAGCAGGTGTTTTCACTCAGCTGCCTACAGCAGGGCTGAAGAATTTTCCAGGGCAGCTGGTGTTAAGATAACATCCATCAGCAGGAAACCACAGCTCTTTATGTGCATTATCTTGTATTTGTCTATACTGAATTTAAGCTGATCAAAGAATATTTCCTCAATATCTATGGAAATTACATAGTTATTGACTGAGGGGAAGAGAGAGGATAGAAATTAAGTGGTCACAACATTTGCTGAGAGTGTTTTCTAGCTGAGAGGGAGGGTTTCTTTGAAATAAAACCAGTTTATGACAATCTCATTTCTCTGTGTTGTTCTCTCACTCCATATCAAACAACAGGTTTAAGGAAGGTATGCAAGAAATTTCCTTTAGTTGTCTTCATTCTGTGAAGACAGGGCAGTGTGAAGTTGGTGTTGCAGGAGCTGTGTGCAGGAATGGTTTTGGGGCTTCCATTTACTCAGGAGAGGGAAGGTGGATCCCCTGGCCTGGATGTGGTGGGGAGGGTGGAGGAAGCTGCTGGTAAACACTTGTCCCTAAAACTGAGAGCTGTAAGGGCAGAGCTCGCAGCAGGATTTCCAGCATGTAATAAAGCTCCCAGGGTTAGGAGGCTGCCCTTCTGTTCCCTATGCTTATAAGTGGATGCCACACCAAGACAAGATCTTAGGAAAATCTTTTCCTTCTTGAAAGAAATATAGGTAAAAATAATACACAAGTTCTTAGTTCCAATGCAGAACAAAGTTTTTGTTACCTCCTGCAGACTTGTGCTTGCCTTATGTTAGGAGAGGCACTGCTCTATCACCTGAGGTAAAACTGGTCAGTACTGGGGCACCCATCTGGGACAAAGGCTATGTTGGCTATCACAGAGAATTCTGAATTGCATTAAATAAAGTCAACTGTATCCCACATTGGGTTCAGCTGCCTGCAATTGAGAACACACAATTTGGCAAGTCTTAACCCGATTTTTTACAAACAGAAAAGCACTACTCAGAAAGTTCAATTCGATTTTCAATTGTTCGAGCCAAAATTCATATCTGTTTTCCATCCCAAGCATCAGGAGTTTCACTGTTGTCATTACTGTTTCTTCCCTATGCCATGGTGCATTTATTGTCCAGGAACATCTAGGGCACATGAAAGTTCATCTTCTAAGCAGATTTACACATAGTCTTGTTGCAACTTCATTGATATGGTGGAGTGGTGCAAGTACATATGTATTTAGGATATGTGTCTGTAAACTTTCTAGGCAGCCTGTGACAAATGCAAACAGAATGTTTCAAATGTGTTTCTAACTTTAAAGACCAAACACACCATCCACAGTTCTCATTGCCATCCAAGCCCCAAATCCTGCATGCTAAAGCAGTCAGGGTGAACCAGTTTTGAGCATCACCTCTTGCTGAAGATCTGGCATATGAATTATAATTTATGTGAATGACTTTTAAACAAAACTGATCGTTCTTTAAAGAAAATATCTCTTATTTCATACCGTCTGTTCATGTGTTTGATATGACACCAAAAGGTGATAAAAGCAAGGTTTTAAGAGCATCTTTCTTGAATGTGAGTTTTTGTTCCTCCTCATGCTTCTCCCCGAGTACCCATCTGCTCTGGGCTTGTAAATGGCACACATCCCTTTGCAGGCAAGTTCAACCATGGAAAAGTGCCCATGACTGCTGCTGAGATCAGGGTCACATGTGCAGAAAGGAATGTTGATCTTGGCCTCTCTCCATGGAGAAGACCATCTTGTCACAGACCCATGGATTTCATCTGTGGCATCTCTCACTGACAGAGATGTCTCTGACACTGAGCATCCAAGGCTTTGGGGAAAACTTAAACATGGTTAATGTCTTTATGTTAGTTTACCAGAACACCTGCTGCTACACCATTTCACTATGGTGTGTACTGGGCCAAGTGAATTTTGGAAAGAAGAATAGTGATGAAAATGGTGCAGTGTAATGCTTTCATTACTTACCTGGTCTGCTTTTCCTTTATCCCTACTGATTTAACGTTTGTCATGGAATCACTAAGGTTTGAAAAGATCTCTAAGATTATTGACTCTAATTGTTAACATAGCACTGCTGTGTTCATTGCTAAACTGTGTCTCCAGGTGCACCCCCCCCTCACAATGTACTGCTGTGTTGCCTTGTCATATTTATAAAATGCTCCTTGAGCATATATGTCCTGGGACTTTTATGCATGGCATTAAAGCAGTTTTCTGCCTATGGCCTGTTTGAGAGTGGGTGTTCAGAACAGTGTCTCTTCACCAGGGAAAGATGAAGTATGTTCACTGCTAAATTACTATTTAAAGAGAAATCACTCAGGTGTTGTAGTTGGAATATCCAAATCGTGGGCTGAGTTTCTCCTCCTGGGGTCCTGTTGCAACTTTGATATACAGACTTTGCTAAAGGTTTTGAAGGCAGAAAGCCTGCCAGGAAGAATAGTAGCAGAAAGCAGGGAAGATCAAGATATCAAAGGGAATGGTACTGACAGAGGAAAGTCTGCAGTGATGAGGCTCCTATGGATCTTTTCCTTTCTCTTCCCAGGGTTCAAGAGCTCTTTCCCCCCAGTAGAAATTTAAATGGGAAGCAGTGGGCATTAATACTTTGTGCTCGTCAAGAGTGGCCCACCAGAGCCCAGGGAAAGAGGGAAGAGAGAGCTGTAATTTACTTCTTTTCTTGCTGGCTTCGGTGAACTTGGCTCACCATGGGTCCTTCTCTTGCTGTTGTAGAATACATCTGAGTTCGGTGCAGCAATAAATGTGATTAATTTACAGTCTGTGTTGAAGAGCACAGAGTGGTGCTGTCTTGCTCTTGGGTTTGCTCAGATATACACTTCATGTATCACTTACCTACCATGCAGGGTGGTTATGAGGATTAATTAGTTAATGTTTGTACAGCACTTTGAAAACGTAATGCACTATTAGGCTTTAGTCTCTGCTTGATGCATGAGTAGAACAGCCATTAATCTAATAGAAGTTGCATGCATTCCTCAAGCAGGGAATACATAAATGCTAAATATAATTTAAATTATTGTTGTATTTCACAATATTCCTTGATCGTGGTTTTTAATTTAGCATAACTTTTTTTAATATACAGCTTGCAGAAATAAAAAAAAAGTTCTTAATTTTCAATCTTGCTTTCAAGAACTCCTTCAGCCTGAAATAAGCAATGATCCTTTGTTCCTCCCGTTTCATTGTTTCCTTCCCCTTATTCTATCTTGTGCATGGTCTGACCAGAGGTAGGTTTCCGAGTTCTGCAGTTGGCAGAGGTATCTTGCTAGCTAAGGAAGCAGACTCATAACACCTCACACAAATAGTATTTGATTACTGCTAATTACAGTGCTGTCACTTAGACAGGGGGAAAGAACGTCGGCTGGCTTTGTCAAATAGCAATGAAATAACCTGCTGTCTGTCTACTGACTTAATGGCTTTAATTGCCAGCGCATAATCAAGATCTGGTGAATTTGTTTGAACATATCAGCAGGCACCAAATATTTCAATTAAGATCAAGTTGTATAACTAGTGTTGCTTTAGCTAGGGCAGGATTCTGGTAAATTCAGGTTTTTGAGGCTCACGAAAGGGTACTTGGCAAGAGCCAGCAAGCAGACAGACAGATGGGTTGTTTCTTCTTTTTTTCAGACTTTGAGTAACCTTCCCTTCTGATGCTACTGGATCCTTGTAGGTGGTTCCCTTTTATTTTCTTTCAGTCTGTTTTCTTTCTCAGGATGATGCCTCCCAGAATAGTCCATGCACTGTAGGCTTTCTGCTGTGAATGAGGTCTGGGTTGTGGTGGGCCATTGAGACAACTGCTTTGGCCTGGAGTAGAGTCTGTCCCAAACTCTCCAAAGGAGGCTTGGTGCAGCAGTGAGAATGGTAGTTTAATAGCCCCTGAAGAAAATCATACAATCATAAAATATCCTGAATTGGAAGGGACCCACAAGGATCAAGTCTAACTCCTAGCCTTGGACAGGACAACCAAAAGAATCATGAGCCTGAGAGCATTGTCCAAAAAGAAGAGAAAAAAAATGGAAAAGCTGTGGCCCGGCACTATATTCTTCCATGTAGATGTTGATAGAGGTTTCTTCCCCTTTTGGCACTCATCTCTTGCCAGAGCTGTCTTTTTCAAGAAATCAACCCTTTCCTATAGCCAGTGGATGATACAGGAGTTTGAAATCAATGCTTGAATTATGTTCAACTTTCAGAGATGGTTTTGTCCCAAACCGTCAGAAGGCACTTTATTTTTGTCAAAGCCTCAATCAAAGATTTTTGTTCTGCCTTTGAAGGATCCTTGCTTCAGGGATTCACGCCCATTCAACCAGATCATTAGCGGCTTCTTAAGCACGGGAGAACAGGTCCTTGTGATAAAATCTGCAAAGCCATGAGATGGACTTGCCTTTGCTCTTTCATTAAAGGCTGAAACAAGAACCTTCCACTTTTCTGAATCGGCTTTGAGCACTGGATGCTGTAGACTACCCCTATCTGTCCTGTTCATATTTAATCACAACATTTGAAAAGACTCACCTGGTCCAAGTTATGCCTGTTTACCTCATCAGTTTTCTTTTTGCTGCATAGTTAAATTTTCTGGTTTATTTGTGTTGTTCCTATGGTTTATTGCCTGGTAGGTATTAGTCTGGATTGGTGGGTGGATTTTCTTGGCACAGAGAACTCTCACGTAAATGATCTTCTTAGTTTTGGTGGTTAAAATCGATGCCTCGACACCAGGAGAAATGACCTTTGCTTGTCTATATGTTATCTTTTCTATGAGACTCTTGTACTTTCATCCACATACCACTCAGTGCAGTGCAGGTTTGTTTGACCCCAAGTAGCTGTGACTTGTCTTCTCCCTGCCTTCATAAGCCGTGTAATTTTAGGGATCATACTCAGCAGGCAAGCGCTCAAAAGCTGGCATGCAGAAAATCACAAGTTCTGTCTGTTTGTTCTGAAGGACCTTTAGAAAGTCCCTTACCCACCCCCTGCTTAATTCTGGCAAAGCTGGGCGTCATTCTTGTGTGTGTTTAGTGGGAGCTGTCAGCCCTCCACAACTGTCTAGATCAAACCTGGAGCTTGAGAGCTAAAAAAAACCCCAAAATGCAGAGATGATGTATGGCAGACAGATTTACATTTGCAGAAAGGCAGAAAATTAAGCCAGAGTTTCCTTCCTATATATATATATATATATATATATATATATGTATGTATATATTTGTTTGTTTTGGTTTTTTTTTAAACATTGAAGAGAAGAAACCAATACCACTACATGCTGCTTCCAGTTTTGATTCTTTTGGATATGAGTGTGTATGTACTTCGTAAGTTTACAATACTGTAATGGGTTCTATATATGGATATTTTAAAGGTGATATTGCAGTGATAATAGGGTAGGGCAGAGATGCTGAGCAAGGTCAGTGGGCTTGCACACTGATGAAGTCAGAGAGTAGGAGGAATGAGGAGGGCTTGGGAGAGTGTACATACTTTGTGCTTGCTATCCCTGAATCTAAATTTAGCTGAAATCAGGAAACTTGAATCACAAAGAAACCTGCATTAAAAATTTTTTTTAAATCAGATAGTCTTTAATTTTTTTTTTATTTTTCCCCCCCAAATACTCAATTTCATTGTCTGGCTTAAATAACTTAAATATCAGTCACATAGTTGCACTGTTCTCAATGATACCACAGAGAACTAAATTATATAATGTGATAAAGGACTTTCCATCTCTACCAATGCAGAAGATGCTGGGACAGCAGCTGCCTAACCATTGCACATAAGAGCCAACACTGTGATGGACAAGGAACAGTCAGTGATTCCTATTTTGGAAGCAGAAAAATAACTGAAGAAAGCAGAGGTTTCACACTTTGTTCTTTTGCTAGTGTGCTTTCCATTTTCTGTGTTTACTAATACAGCGCCATATAGTGCCCAGTAAGAACTCCCATGTTATGAAGTTCATCTTCATTTTCTGCTAGATAAATAACTACCCTTTGGAGGATGCTGTTTCTGTTTGGTTTCTGTTTCTCTGTTCGTTTTGCATTGACTAGAAGCATCAGTGTTGTTAAAAGTACAGGCCAGATGCTTGGAAAGGATAAAGCAGCACAGCAAAGCAGCTGCTTCTGCTTTTGCCACCCGAGACCCCCAGTTATTATTTTTTTTTTTGTCTACACTTTGTGCATTTCGTAGCTCTGAGCAAACTTTGTTAATATTGGCAGTTATATCTTCATTAGTTTCTGTCTTGCCTATAAATGCTACCAACCTGCCTTGTTTATTTCTGTTCAAGAGCTGTAAGCTTTGGTAATTTTTCAAGTTGTCATCTCACTCTTCCAAAATCACCAGATTTCTTTCACTTGTGAAAGTGCAGTCTTTGAAGTGTCTTTTACTTCCTGCAAAGAGGTTACATCCAGCTTTAAAAAAAAAAACTTAAAAGTCCTGTTTCCTTCTAATTATTCTCCCCAGTAAGAATTAGTCTGTGCTGGTGCAAGATGTGTGTCTTTGGGAGCTCTGCTAGGTAGTGGTGGAGTTAGAAGCTCTGCTCTCAGTCTGTGTCCTCTTTAATCTTAATGAGGTGTAGAGATTGTGGATAGCAGATGTGTGAAATCCTGAAGGTTTTCACATTGCCTTTTAAATTCAGTCAAAAATAGTGCTGCTGAAATGCTCCTACCATAAAGAATTGTTGGGCATGCATGTGCTTGGGTGGTGAGAGAGGTAGCAGAGAGCTTGCAACAAGTGAGGTGGAACAGAGCAGGGATAGGCACTACCAAGGTCAGATTCTTCAGTGTTCACTCCACTATTCTGATTGTTTTTGTAATTCTCATTTTATTTTTGCTGATGAAATTTCTTGTTGGATGCCCTTCCATGGAAAACTTAGTAATTTTCCTACATAGTTAATATTCAGATATAAAAAAAGCTATTACAGTCTAAATGATGAATAGATGCTAATTTATACATATATACATATACTCAGAATGCCTAATTAATGATCTTCTGTGTCAGTCACGGATATGCAAATGATTATATTTTGCGAGTCTTATCGTAATTGTGTTGCCCTGCTGGCTTCAGTTTGGGGGAATGTTTTTACTGAAGTTTGGGAAGGGATAAGAAAGAGACTGAGCAACAAAGGAGTAAAGAACACAACTGCTGTGCTGATTAATCAAAACCAGGTAGATCCAGGTTGTTTTCATGGGTGCCAGAGGCATTTCTAGAGCAGGAACTAAGAGGATTTGAGTACCTCTCTGGAGAACTCTATATTCGCTGCACCTTACTGGACTAAGGCCTGAAATAATGGGAGGTCTTCATGAACCCAGCATCTCTCATTTTTATTTCTCTTTGCCATTGATGCAGATGTTCCTCAAAAAGTAAAAGATTCACCGTGTATTTTAGTAGAGTTTGTGGGTATGTTTCACTACATGAATAATTCTACTCTTTGTAATTCTGGAGGATATTAATAAAAACAATTATTTGCTCCTCCGATACATATGTGCACAGAAGTTGCTCCAAATCTGCAAGTCCTGGGACTGAGACAAAGGAAAATGGACAATGTTAATCATTATGTCTATCTTTTTGATATCTTGGACTGAAAACAGCTTGAAAATCTTGAAAAATTTCCTACAATTACTGGCCTTGGAAAAAATATATTTTTAGAAATTGAACACAAGCTTGTTTGTAACCCTCCAGCACTTGTATCAGGGTGCTTGCTGGGGGCAGCTGTTTTATCAGATCCCAGGTACATTTTAAAGGCCTCCCTTTGTCCCCTTAATTCCATGGTGGAATTAATTTGTATTGTTTCACCTGAAGCTGTATCTGTAAGCAGAAGGTGGTGATTGTGCCACAGCCCAGGAAAAGAAAGGCTAAATGTTACTTTGCGGAAACTCAGATCCTGCCTGCAGTAAGGAAAGTTGATGGCTCTGCTCTGAGGACAGCTCTTAAATGGGATTTGCAAGGAGTTCACGGCAGAGTAGCTATGAAATCATGGCTCTGAGTTGATCCTGTGTGCTGGGATGTCAGACCTTGCTTGGGGAAGCTATTGATTGTCCACACACAGCCTCAGAGGATGGGGAGGTGCTGTGATCTGTACTGCTGTGCTCTTTCCTCCCTCACACAAGCCCTTGTGACACAGGGATCCAGCTCTTCTCCATGATAGCCAGGTTACCCTGGTCCTTACTGCTGCAGGATGGCAAAGCTCGAGTCTGTGCTTCCTGACATTTCTACTTCTGCTTCTCCTCTTTGCCTGCTTGCTTTGGCTTTGTGGTCACTTTTAGCCGTGTCAGCACATTGAAAATTGCTGACAGTAAACACCAAAGGCATGCATGCATGCTACTGAAAAAAAAAGAAACAACCACAAGGAAAACAGCCTTGGGTAAACAGTGGATTTGCTCACTGTTAAATGTTCACAGCTTCCACACACAGCCTGGAGCCTCTTACTAAATACAGGGCTTGGGATTTTGTTTTTAAAGAACATTGATACAGGCTGTGGCACTGCTCACTTTTCCATGTGACTTTTGATATATGCAGTAAGAGAGGTTCATCCTGCATGGTGCTGTACAGAAAAGCAGCCGTGTGGGATCCTGGGTTTTGTGTCAGGAAATTGGGCTGTCCATCCACAAGAGAGCCTGGGATGTCCCAGGGACACACAGGTCTGATGCTCTGTGCCCTGATCACTGTCATGCCCACCTTCAGGAAGGTGAATGAGGTAGTGTGCAGATCAGCATTAAATGCTGTGCCTCAATTTTGCACACATTAAATGCTGGGGAAGGGAGGGCAGAAAAAAGTACATCCTTAGGCTCATCCAGTGCAGCATAGACTGGGGAAACATGGAAACATGCTTCTCTTGTAAGTACCTGAGCACATCTCAATATTTGGTAGTATGTGCAGGCTTTCCCCATGTTCCTGCAGCTCTCCTGTACTTTCAGCATGGTTAGCTGTCAGGGATGGAGCTGAGGAGCTGGATTCTGCTTCTGCCAAGCTTGCTTAGGTGCTGCACAAGTCCACAGAGCTGGCCACAGTGCCCAGAGCTCAGCTTTGAGCAGCGTGTTGCCAGCAGCTGGCTGCAGCTTACAGAGTGCAGGGAGGAGCAGGCTGGACTCAATCAAAATGGATTTTTGCTGGGAGTGTGTTGCTATTTTTATGGTTTACCCAGCTGCTTTGGAGCCATTACAGCTGTCCAAAGCAGTCACAGTGCACACCTTCTTGGAAACACTCATCCTGCCTGGTGTTGTCAAAACTCAGGGCTGTGTCCATCTCTTCAGAGGCTCTCACCAGTAGCCACTTACCCACCCACAAGAGGTTCCAGCAACATGGGCACTGCCATGGAGGGTTACCCCAGAGCTTCTTTCCTCTTTCCTTTGCACCAGAAATGGTACAAGATGCAGATGAAAAGACCTGCAGAAGCATACAGCTATAACACAGGCGAGAGTCCCATTTCTCCAGAGTTAAAAGACAGGGGTTTTTTTTGGTGGAAATTATTAATTATTCTGCCATCAGATGATGTATTTAGTATTTGGAGCTGATCTGTATTAATGAAAGGAATGAGAGATGTCTTTACAAACAAACTGTGTGCCTGCTGGTAGATAAATCCAGATACTGATAGGTGAAAAAAGCAATAGGAGTAACCATAAATTCCACAGGAATTCCACTAATTGACACAGGCTGTTGCTCACCCTAGACCATGCTAAATTCCTGGACTTGGAGAAAAAGAACAGAGACACAAAGAAAAAGAAGGGAGGGGGGGAATGAACATTAGAAGGGGAGGTCTGTATTAGGCAGTTTGGGAAGTCTGTACCTCTCAAGTACCTTAACCAATGGGGAAATTGGGATAAAGAGGAGGCTGCATGCTCTAGCAATTTGAGAGAACCCAGGGTGATGCCCCATGGCTTCTCCTTTTATATGAATAAAATTACAGAACCTCGCTGTCTCCTTTTTGGACATAAATTTCTGACATCATGGATTATTTTCCTGACATCAATAATATCTAAGAAGATGGTTTCCAAACTCAGTTCACATTTGGTGTGGTCTCATTCGTGCCTGTCAGCCATGCTGCATTTTAGTATGAGCTAGCCCAAGCTGGCTTAAATTTCAGCTTTAGACTGAATTAAAGAAAGACAATCCAAAGCTGATGGAGTCCTTACTGCCTTCCCAGCTCAAGATAAAATACCATAAGAAGCATGGAAGCTGGATTAGGAGGTCAATATTAGGGGAAAAGTCAAGGGTTTGGGGGATTTGTGTTGTGTGTGTGTGTGCTGCTGCCTGCTTGAGCCAACAGGCCTGGCAGAGGCTGCTCTTCCTGCCTGGGAGTAGGGATGCCCTGCTCTGAGCACTGTGCAGGCAAGGAATAAACCAACCAAAATTACTGACACCAAAGACTGCATTAAATCCCTGCTGTACAGTTCCCTGCACTGGAACCCCAAATATTTCTTGAAGAATTCCTAGGAGGAGGCTGGCATATACTGACTAATTTTGTAAATCTTGCATTAGAAATGGGGTTGTACATTGGAGAGCCTTCTGCTATATTTAGAATGAAACTCCATGCTCCCGCTGTCAGGATGGGAGCTTAATTACAGTGTGCTGCAAACTTTGCTTTTGTGAAGGATATTTTTCTGCACTGCTTGCTTCAGAAAGCACAGTTTTGCTGCTATTTTTATGATGCTTTTGCAACAGCAGCAGGAGTTTAAATGGGTTAGGTGAAACTTGAGAAGGATTCTCTGACAAAACCAGCAATAGTATCTGTGTGGTTCCCAGCGTGGAACTTCTCACCAGCTGAAATTAATCAATGTCAGGATGAAGTTGTTGCTGGTTGCTGTTGCTTTTTTTCCCTTCCTTTTTACTTCCCCCCCACCCTTCCTGCAACTTGCAATTTGCTTTTTTATGACTCCACAAATTATCTGCTCAGATTTTTAATGTGGATCCACATTTGCTGCTTATGAGTGGGGAGCTGCTAGAGGGTTGCAATAGAAACATAGAACTGGTAAGTTTAGCAAGTTTTGCATCCAAAAACAATGAAAAGGTGCACATGATTTATCCTCCTTGATTTTAGAGGTAGCTGCTATTTGCTTGCAAGAATTACCAAGTTTTAAGGAGTATTTTGTTGTTATGATGAAAGTGGGGTGCATTTTGCAGAGGCCAGCATGCTTTGCTGCAGTGTGGTGTGGTGTGGTGGTGATCGAGAGCTTTTGGGGTGAACAGCAAAGGATCTTAATGCTGCAGAGAAAAATGTTTAGAAAATTGAAAATAAGGAAGGTTCTAGTGGGTGGTAGATGTTTATTTTTTCTTAAGGACTGTTTCCCTCATTCAGAGGAGTTATCTGTCTCCTTGAGCTGTGTGTGCATACAAGGTAGCTTGTGGTGGGAAAGAGTTTTAGTTTAAGCAGCATAAAAAGCTTGACCTCTCCCCAAACAGTGCTGTGTCGAGGGATACATGTTTCTTACTGGGACAGCACAACTTGCATAATCCTGCATGGAATCCTACATTGGCACCTTTCAGAAAGTCCTCAAATGCCATGCAGGACTAAGTTCCCATTGGAGTTATTCCACAAAATCTGCATTGCTGCTGTTACCATTCTACTGTAGGAGAAAGTTTTGGTGTTTTGCACCAATCAGATGCTGGGGGAAGTAAAGCAGAGCCAAGGTACGACCTGTCTGGTCAAACAAAGGAGTTTGAAAGTTCAAAATTCAGTCTGCACCTAGGAAAAGATTTCCCAAGGAAACTAAGTAATTCAAAGTGAGCAGCATCTACCCACCTTTTTTAAAAATTATTTAAACACTGATTAAAGCTGTCATAAAGTGGAAAAATCCTCATTTTTTAATGGTAGCGGAGAAGTTTTCTAGAAAATATTTAATTTGTCAACATGTTACACTAAAAAGTAAATAGGGCATAACCTGCTGGAAAAAAACATTATTTTCACTTCCACAAATAGTAATGTAAATGTTAAATTTGCTTTTATTTCCCCTCCTTGGTTTTTAAAAGGAAAATAAAATAATTGGCCAGATGTCTTTGAGATTTGATGATAGATTACACAGTACAGAAGCTTGACACCTGCTAGAAAGTATTCTTTCTGCAAAAGCTTTTATAATGTAACAATATAAATTCATCTATCTAGGGTAAACTGTTTTCCATTCCCATGGGACTCTCACAGGGTGTAAGGATTCTACTGAGACTGCTCACCTGATGAGCAGAAAATGTGTACAGGTGCTGTTTGCAAAATCCCAGAAGAGAGAGACTCTAGTTGGAAATAATAATAATGGAAAACATTTTTAATTTAGCCAGAGCCAAAGACATTCTCAAAGACATTCCAGCAACTTACTAGAAAATTACTGCTACAAAAATAAACAAGCCCAAAGGCTGGGCATAGGTTAAATAATTCAGGATCAGGAGGTGGTATTTTGCCTGTGTGTTGTGTTTCTTGGCCAGAAGAGTATCATGTCTGCCCTCCTATGAGAAGGGTGCTCATTTCCTTTAGAAAGGATGAAAAGCTAACTCACTTTTTGAAATATTGAACGTCCCTCAGTTTGTAGAAACTCGCCTGAGAAGAGCTGCTATCTGAAAGTTTAACAAATAAATCTCACTTGTCCCTGCTCTCCCTGTGATGTGGGACTCTTGGCTCAAGCAATACTTTGCACTATGAAGAAAAGAATTTCTTGAGATGAATTTATTAATTATGGGCCATATTTTGACATTCCAGTTCTTTGCTTAGCTATTCTAAGACAATGTGAAAACAAAGCCAAGACCTTTATAATTCTTGTTTTCTTTATTGACAGTGTGCCAGAACAAAGGGGCATCATCTGGGAAAGTAGAATGAATTTTGCCTAGAACAACTCTGATGTGCTTATGTTTCTTTAAATATAATCTAAGATGGTAAAATCCTTTCTGTCAGTGAGATCTAGGCACTGGTCTTTACATAGCTTTTGTCGCAGTTAGGAATTACATAACAATCTGATTTTTATGGATAAAAAATAATAAACGAGTAAGGATTAACAGAATGTTTGTCTAGAAAAAAGGAGACTGATTGTCCTGTCTTTCTGTGGAATGTGAAGAGAAAAGCTCTTCCACAGAGACTAAAGCTTTTGGAGAGGAAGGGATTGAAATGGTTGTTTTAATGTAGCTGCATAGAATAAATGTTTTGACTAATACCTTCCCCAGGTCATTAAGTAAATTATAAAGCAGAGTTTCTTTGCTATAGGCTGTTCTATTTCCATGAAGGCACTCCTATGAATTTGACTGCTTTTTGCTGAGAAAAACTGACTAAGCAAAGGGCTTTATAAACAGAACATTTTTACCTCCTGTTGATCTCTCTCAATCACATCTCTTTAAAGGTCCTGTAACAACTCTGCATCAGATATAGTATTAAGTGAGGATGCTGTGATTTATTTTATCTCCTTTCTCCTAGTCAAAGAATCAGAATGCTCCTTTAAGGAGAGCTGTATTAATGCCATTCATTCTCTCTTTAATGTATTGCTACTTCATTGCAAGGTTACTGCTGGCACCTCAGGGCTTGGTCTAGCAGGATTGGCCAAGAGGAAAAATAGACACCTTGAGACTTTCTGTTCTGCAGCCA